TCTTCTATCTCTCTCTCTCTCTCTCTCTCTCTCTCTCTCTCTCTCTCTTTCTCTCTCTCCACAAACCCCCCCCCCACACAAAGAAAAGAGAAAAAAAGACATCTCTCTCTCCCAAATTATTGTGACTATGGAGAATTTGTTATAGAAATATACTCCTAGAAAAGAAAAAAAAGGACATCTCTCTCTCTCTCTCTCTCTTTCAAATTCTTGTGACTATGGAGAATTTATTATAGAATTATACTCCTAGAACGGAAAAAAGGACATTAAAGTTCATCATCTACTTTGCTTCTTGAAGTAATTTTTAGCTTCTTAACATTAAACCAGTGGCCAGACCTAATAAATCTAAAAGAAGTATCCAAACAATAATTGTTAATAGTGCTGTTCATACTATGGTACAAAATGCCTTTTACTTTCTAATCATACATCTAATAAATACAATATGCATGTACCTCCCCTAGTTCTTGTTCTTTTCCCCTACCCTAACACGAAATATTCTCTACCAAAGGTTTGGCCTCTTTCTACAAAAAGCCTTTCATGTTTCTTGATCCACACTTGGTGGGTGAGCTCCCACCTTCCTCTCCAATGATTCCTGTCAAATCTTTTCAGACAACAATTTCAGATACTGAAATAAATTCACATATTACGGCAGTGTTATGTAGTTTTAGATTCTTAGTCACTTCTAGCCTCCTGTTTAGCCAACCCTTGTGGGCACCATCTTTGATATGATGTGATGATGTTCAATAAAGCTTCTAGGATTAGATATGTCTCTTTCACCATACTAATTTTTATTGGGTCAGTGAAACTGTAAGACTAGACATTCATCTTTCCCGATATATAAACATTTTGATGAGGATGGGGAAAGATATTAGCTAGATGTTGAATGAAATCCAAAACAAGTTGGTGATGGGAAATCAAATGTATCAATGTATCTTATGTGGCCTCTCTCGATGGGGCAGGCAGCTTCAAGGTACATGACTACATGATGTTTTGCGTGGCACTGTTTCCCTGACCTTGATTGCTTTTGTCTTTATTTTTCTTCTTTCTGTGGCATCATCTCAACTCTTTTGAAGTCAACAAGTAGTGTTTATCCTTCAACTCAAAGTAGTAGTAGTAGTAGTAATAATAATAATAATAATAACAGGTGTTATTGCATCAAATCATAGCAATCATTTATCATGGAGCTGAACATTACTTGACGTAAACCTATGTATGAGGTTGCTCACAAACTGTGTGTGGAATCCAGTAGATTCATTAGCCAAGCAGAAGCCAAGATCAATCTATACTATACCCCTCGAGAATGAATTGATGCGCAGTTCATCTTCATGCTAGTTTTGTGCTTGTGGGACAGAGATGGCATGTGTGGGCGGCAAAGAGTGGTTCTTCTTCAGCCTGCCGGACCGGAAGTACGCGACCGGGCAGCGGACGAACCGTGCAACCGAGTCAGGCTACTGGAAGGCGACGGGGAAAGACCGGCAGGTGATCCGGGGAGGACTACTCGTTGGCATGAGGAAGACGCTGGTCTTCTACCAAGGAAGAGCACCCAAGGGAAGGAAAACTAATTGGGTCATGCATGAGTTCCGCATGGTGGCGGGAGCTGATGACCCACAGAAGCTATCTCTCGAGGTAAACTCGCTTCACTCCTTCACATGATGATGCATCGAGTTCTAAGGATACTCGAAGCTTAACTCCCGTCTGACGGATGCACAATGTAGGATCTGAGATGACCTTTTCATGACCTGAATACCTTCTGAAATATTTGCCATGGTTCCTCACATCACATTGATATGTCCATTTATACTTTTGGCACGCATTCCTTTTACACTGAAGAAAATAACGCATCATTTCATTAATGAATGGAATGGAATGGAATGGAATGAGATGATTGTGAGATAAACTATCTAAGAGGGTCTATTCGATGGACATGGTAGATTTATCTGATTCATCTCTCACTAATAATATCTCAGGAATCTTCTCAAGTTGCCTTCAGATATAGTTCGATCCATATCATACAAAAGTCTCTCTCCTCCTATCCATTACAAAAATGTTACATGAATATTTATTGCACAGCAAATAAATTCATCGTTGCATGTATATGATGACGAAGTCTTATGATCTACTCCCTCTCCCATGCTTCTACTTCAAACAGGAGGATTGGGTCCTGTGTAGAGTCTTCCACAAGAGCAGAGCGCTGAGCGGCCAGCCAGCCACGGAGGCCGGCAATGGCGAGGATATCTCCTCCTCCTCCCTCCCTCCTCTCATGAACGGCTACCTCACCTTCGAGCAGGTGTCCTGCTTCTCCAACCTCGGCCCAGTACACCCAGCGTCAGGAAGAACCCATGAAGCTAATCCTTCCTCTTCGTTTGCACGAAGCCTGCAAGCCAGGAGCAGCTCAGCTCATGCCGGGGGATTACCGAGCTTGGATTCTTCTGATAACGTCGCGAACTACTTCACCAAGTTGGATAGCAGCAATCCATGGAGGGAGGCCCCGAGAAGCTCAGATGGCAACGTCAACTCGTACATGTGGAACCCATTTTGAGGACACTCTCTTTCTAGTAGTTATAGGGTGGTTATCACTAGGTCCTATAAATAGGACCGTAGTTCATCTAGCAAGACATAGAGAAAGAGACAGATAGATAGAGAGTTTGTGTGCACTTGGTATCTTGTAAGTGTTCTTATCAATCCTCCTGTTTTTAATACTACAACAGTTTTCTTGAGTCGAAAGGATTCTTTTTACTCGTATCGTAGTATTTTGTTTTTCCTTGCTCCTCCATCCCCAACAGATCATGCTCGGTGTGGTGGATGCATGCTTTCTTGGCATTGTGCACTGAATGATTCCCGGTGCACAGGGTGAAACAAGGGTTATGTTTGGGATTTGGGTCTCATGATCGAAATCCCTTAGTTCAATCATGGTTAATGACGATGATATTAATTTAGATTATTACTACTTTTATTATGACGCAAAGAAAAATTTGTATGTGATCATTAAATAAATACGAATGCACGAGAAAGAAGATAAGCGAGAGAAGGTCGAATTATAGTTATCTGGATTATAGTTATATGGTCGAATTGCTCGATTAATTAATCGATCAAATCGTTTTTTTGTTATAAATATTTTAGAATAATTTAATATATATAATGATAATTTTTTAAAAAATATTAAAATTAATGAAAAGATCATATAAAAATGATAAATATCAACCAATACTATAAACGTAAACATCGATGGCAATTTCATTAAATTATAGGTCAGTTTTATTTTATCTCTCATGTCAATCATAATTTTATGATTGACATAAATATCTTCTTAAATAAATAATAAAAAGATTAAATTAAGAATATTTAAATATTTTTTATTAAAATATAAATTTACATTTTTTTTATGCTCTTTACGACTAATTACGAAAGCTAGTCTTTAACGCGTGTATATGAGATTATTAACTTAATCATGATCGTGAAACCTCTTCCGACTTCGATCTTCATGCAGCATCTTGACGTTTCTACTTCGAAGATATTTTTGAATAATTTTACGTATCAAGGTTCAGATCAGGTCGAGTTGACTGAGATATCAATAATATTTTCTCATAACATATTATATTATAAAATAAGATTAATTTTATATTATTTATTTGGTGGTCCAAAAATTGATCGGGTCAATCAAGTTATTTTGATTTTTAATATATGTTTGATCTATTTTTTTTATTGGGTTTGACCATTCGATTTCTATTCTCATAACTATCTATGCATAATCTAATGATAGAAAAAGAAACAATGCGACGACTCGTTTCTTTGTCGCGTTCTTCTCCGCTGCCGACCGGTCCGGCGATATACCATCCCCCCGTTGCTGGAAGTCAAGAGACTGCTTTACGTTGTCGGTTGATCGAGCCGTCGATTCCATCCCCGAAACCTGTTCTATTCTTTGCTTCCTCAGCCGTTTCACGGTTCGTTTCTTGGACCCTAAACCGAAAGGATTTAAAGCGATTGCTTAGCACTTGTTTCTCTGTGTGCGTTCTTAGGTTAGTGTCGTTCGTGTTTGTTTCATTTTCCAAAGATTTTGATGGCTTTTCTGTGATCGTTTTCCATTCTTCTCGTATCATGGAGCTTTTTCCCACTTAAAAGATCTGTTCTTGTTGTTCCTTTGCACAATTGCAGCATCCGAATTAAAATTTCTCGTAGCTGACATGGTAAAGGAAGAAAAGAGAAAGGATTGTTTGGCTTATAGGTGTTGAAGATCGATTTAGATGTGGGGTGGGATAGGAACAGAGCAAGATGCGGAAGCGAGGCTGCATATCGAGAGATGATGAGTCAATTGCATTAGAAAAAAAAATGCTTCTTTGTCTAAACATTGTTTTGACGAGTGTTAGAGTTCAAAATATGTATATGTTGGATCGTTTTCTAATAGGTTAAGTTTTTTGGGATTAGTGGTAATCCAAATAATAATTTTATAGTAGGACTGTATCTGCCCCCTTTTTCTTCCACCTGGTAGTTCAAGTTCAAGAAAAATCTGGCCCATTTTCAATTTTAGGATTGTATCATTGGAGAATAGGTAATGGAACAATGATTTGTCCTCTAATATCTTCCCAAAGAGACTTATTTATAGGACAAATTCTGATTAGTTATTCTTTCAGAGGCAAAAAGGTACATCTCAACTCAAACATGGGCACTGTAGCTAATTAGCTTGTATAGAATAACTCATTCTCTTGATATGTATTCTTGACTGAGGGGCCCTTACATTTTTATGGTAGATTTTTGTTTTCCTCTTGCTAATTATTTTTAAAAAGGTTGACTGCCTGATTACTAAAAGGAAAGGAGAATTCAAAGGGAAGTGCTGGGAAACAAATGCATAGACCTGGCAACTAACAGTTGCTAATGGGTGTGGAAGGAAAGCAACTTCTGTTGGATGATGGTGGTAATGGTGAATAAGGTTACAAAGAAGGGAAATAATAAAGAAGAAAAAGAAGGCAAGGGGTAAGGTTGGTGGGGGCGGGGGATAAGGCTGGTTAGATGGAAAAGGAAGAAGAACATAATTATAATTTTAAGTAACCAATTAGCTTTAGCTTAAGCATAGAGGGATGGCCATTAAATCAAATTCATCATTATGTGATGATTCTGCCTAACCACAGGATCCAAAATAATCCTCAATCCCCATAATAAGTTTTAACAAATTTGCATCAGATTAGGTCAAAACTGGTAACCTAATCTAAATAAATCAAATGGGTTTAGCTATAGACCAGTTAGCTGGTGGATTGTTTTCTGTTATATATGTATTTTCTAGAAATTTTCCAAGATAAATATATTCCCTTTTTTATGCTTTAAACCACAACCTTGTTTCCAATGAAATAGGATTGTCCTAAATTATCTTTCCAATGCTTTTGGGCACAAATTCTTTCAACTTATGACCTGCCACAAAATTTGTTTTCATCCCCTGTTTTGTGATTGCATCTCCTCTCATCTTCTTCTTACTTATTAATATATGCAACAATGGCACTTAGCTCATGAAAGAGGGTGGGCTATGACAATGGTGCTTCCGGACATCTGTCACCTCTTGTTGGGATCTAAGCCGTGAGTAAAGATGTGTTATGAAGCATTTTTCTTTGATCAATGTCCAGTAAGTCAATATTTTAACCCTAGAATGAGTAGTTACACAGTCAATTCCCACTTGCCAAAAATGATGGCTCCTCCCTAGTGGCAGCCTAACAATAAAAAGAATCAGTTGTTGTCAGATCCAACATATAGTAATTCACAGTAGAAAAAAAGAGGGTTAAGTGGGTTCCAAATAGACTATTAAATAAATTATCTTTCTTAGTTGTTTATATTTTTTTTGCATTCAACTCTCTTTCATTACAGTGTCATGAGTTAAGTCTGGATGCAGCACTGTTCATCCATCACACTGCTGTTGTTTAGGTTTTGAAATTTTGGCATTTATAGTGTCATAGCAGTAACACATTCTTGTTAGTATCATTCTTCATTGTAACAGCACTACATAATGGTATATAAGCCAATCCATTCTTGTAGTTTGGTGTTATTTTTATTTCCTGAATATTGAAAATTTTCTTAGACTCCTTGATTGAACCTGCACTTATTGGCTTCTTCTTTTTTTTCTAATGAAAATCTATAAATCTAGTGACTCTACAAGTGTGCTCGCTACTGTCAAGAGATAATTTGGGGTCCTGAATCCCATGTTCGGTTATTTTTGTCAAATATGAAGTGAATAACAAGCACACTTCATCTTGCTTTTCTTATGGTTTCAGGTTTTTAGCAAATATGGTATAAAACTGATTCTCGTGTAGGTTCAACACTTGGGAACACCTTATATATAGAAGTCTTCTTGTTAAGCCCTGTTCTTTTACTTTATGCCATGTATGTACTTTCATTTATATCATGCTACTTTTTTTACTGTTCTTTCATTGTTGATCTTTCTTTTGGCCTCTCAATCGAAATTTTTAATTAAAACTTTCTAATTTGATGATATAACCTCATCTTTCCCTAAAAAGGTTCTACTGTTTGTCGAAATCTTGTGCACTGTTGTGAACTAAAATGCACGAATTGCTGAGGGGAAGATGTCTGCTTTGGACTTGTTGGCTGGTCAGACCTGTTCCACATACGAATGAGAGACTGAAGCCGCCAGCACAGGTACACCTGATGACTTTTTGTTCCAAATTTGAACATGTTTTAGCTGGGGTGAATTCTGGTTCTTTCGCTCCAGGTAAACGGAACGATGTTATAGAAAAGGGTTGACACTGTTGTAGATTCCCAGCAGCGGAAATTGTTCGATGGAAGCAAAACTTTTGTTAATGGAGTAGGAAGTTGGTAATGTCTTTTGGATAAGTTGCCAGATTAGCTGTATATCATGCTTGTTTGGTTCTGGAAAATGCTTGTGTTCACTGAATCACACTGATAAAAAGATGCCATTAAGAATGCCATGATGTGCTCCACTTTTGTGCCTAGTTGACAATGTTCCCAATAATGTCTTAGTGATCGAGAGCATATTGATGTTTCAGAATCATGGTAGCTTTTCTTTTAACTTTCACAATCGATCGAGAGCATATGATGTTTCAGAATCATGGTAGCTTTTCTTTTAACTTTCACAATCGATCGAGAGCATATGATGTTTCAGAATCATAGTAGCATATTTATGGTCTTTATGCTACTAGGATTTATCGTTGTTCACATTATTGTAGACACATGAATAGAGGACCAAGTTAATCCTTGTTTTTTCTTTACATAGCTGCAAAGTATTACAACTGACTCTTAAGTTTCTGCTTGACACACTTGACATCTGCATGCATACCTTCTGTCATGGAATCATCAAATCTAGGAAGCAAAGTACATAACCTTTGTTGCAATGCAATAAGTGGACAATTCCAGAGCCTCCCTGCTATTGACACCAATTCTAATTGTGCATCTTAAACAAGCTTATTATTGGTTTTGTTGCAGTGGCATCAGTATGTGATTGCTCACCAATTATTTCTATTTTTTTCAGGCCTCTCCTTGGTTCTCTTTCGGTGATAAGAAAAGGACAAGAATGGTGCTGTAGACATCCAGAAAAGTAACTTGGAACAAGACACCACTAAAATGTCTGGTAATTCAACTTTTTTGATTTGCTTAACTTTTTGAGCCCCCCCCACCCCCCGTTTTTTTTTTTTGTGTGTCTGCAGATCATCCCCTGACTGATGTGGAGAAGAGGAGGATCAAGTGGAGTGGATGCCTGTGGGACCTTCTGCAGCCAGAAATAATTAAACCCACAGAAGAACCTCACATGCCTGAACATGGAAGCTTATCCCCACCTACAATTAAGACCACCGGCCTCCATTGGCTTGTCTCCTCCATGGAAAGGGACACCATAGGTGCCATGTCCACTGCACCAGAATGAGCATCATTTCTTCAACATGCATCAACAGTAAAATTATTCTACACAAGTCACAACAATTCCTGAAAAGGAAAAAAAAAAGGTTCCTGATTCCCTCAAAACCATCTCTGCATTTCAGGCACTTGCAACCTTTATTATTTGTTCCAAGACTATCAAAATGAAATCGAGGGCTAGTTTTACAATAAATTGTTTCTGTTTTATTTAGTGTATTATGTATGACTCTGTACATGTTCCAAAGCAAATATACAAGCATATTTATCTGCTCAAGATTATTTCTAGTTCTTTAAATTCTTAATAAAAATTTTCGCCTCTCAATTTAGAAAGTTTTGGTTGCAGTGATCTTATTTTATCATTTGGATGCTCACCTTACCATGGCAGCTTATTTGAAATAATGATGCAGGTAGTTGCCTAGTTATTAAATGCATTATTATCATGCCAATAATGAAACAAATAATGTATTCCTTTCCTTTCTTCCAAATCATTGGTTAATACTCTTTTACCATCAAAAGTTTTACCTTGCATCAGGATGACAAGTCCATCTCCCTTGTTGTATTTTATGCCTCCACTAAATCAGATCAAGGAGAATAAACATGTGGCAGATGCTTTTGATGACTACTTGTTCCAGTATAATTCCTCATGCTCGGATGCCTTGTAAACGAGTAGCCCATTACAATTCTGTTTGTAATGATGCGTTATGCTCCGCTTTGGTTCACCGAATTCTTCTATCATCACCATCATTAAAAGCCATCGTCGTCGATCGTACGGCTGGGAGTGCACCATCGGAAGTCCCCTCCTCCTGACGCCGTCATGCCCCTGCCTCGGCTGCCGTTTGCTGACGCCATCCGCACTCAGTGGGCCTCAGGTGGTGGGTCAGAACCCCGGGCGGAGAACCTACCCAAAAAGGTAAAGGGTCGAGGACACCCGGTGGTCCTCTCGTAATTTACCCTTGTCCGGGGGTTCTTTGTCGCTCTTTTCTTGCCGTTTCGGGTAAAAGGCCGCAGGTGGCCGCGGTTTACCGTTGAGTAAAGTCTTCCCTGAAAAGTCGCGTCCCTTATCCACAATGACAGCCTGGGATCGGAAATGGAATTCCGATATATCCTCACCCCCTATTCCGCCTCCTGCGCCCCCCCCCCTCCTCTCTCTCTCCCTCACACACACCTCGAAGAGGTGCAACCTCGACAAGGGAGGGTGCTCCTATACCCCGGCACGACGAGACTGCAACCCCGGGAGGGGGCGCACGGAAAGCTCGCACCCAGAAGCGAACCCGAGTACGAAGACTAGGAGCCGGGGCCCACTTGCGTGATGTCGGGTGACGCCCGCGTCGCCGTGGGTGCGAGACGTGGGAGATCCTTCTCTGACGACCGCAGAGGTCCGGCCACTCTCGTGCGGCCCTAATCCGCGGGGTCGGAAGCGCGCTCTACGAGCAGGTGCACAAAGCGTTTCCTCGAACTGGAAGCGGATCCACCGTCCATCGGCCAGATCTGGGCAAAACGAACGGCAGATGTACCCGTTTCTCCCGTGAAGGAATCATGCGAACGCGCGCGGTCACTTGCCAAGATTAGAAATTAACCTGTTACCGCAGTGAAAAGGTGACCGCACTCTTTAGTCCTCTTCTTGCCCTTTGACGTCGCTACATGTCGCCACTTAATTCACAACGGATGCGGAGGTTGGAGGCAGCGCTTCGCTGGTTTCAGGGCCCCTCGTGCGGTCGTGGGCAAAGTCGTGCCTTAAGAGGAGAGGAGGATGATTTTTTTAATTATTGCCGAAATTAAAAAGGCGACGCAGAAATGAGAGGCGAAAAGAGACCGGAAGCGGTGGGTTCGGACATTCCAATTATAAATACGTCTCTCACTCCCTCCCACTCGCGCTCGCTCTATGGCGGCGATCGCCTCTCGCCATCTCGGATGGTAGTTTCCACGACCTGAGGCAGATCCGCTTGTGCCGGGCGACCGATCCGCTCCGCCGGCGAGGTCCACGTCCGCCGTCCGCCGCGTTATGGTCAGATCCAGGCGGTCGGGCGGCTCGGCTTCTTGAACGCCGTCGGCGGATCTTGATTACGGGATGATGCCGACGATCTGTCGCGGTGGAGCCACCCCCCGGCGCTGGATTCGCTTGGTGAGTTAGATTTGGAGGTAGGAGATTGTTTCTTTTTCGTGGATTGCTCGCGGGAGGTGGCGGGATTCTTTTCTTGCTTTCCCTCTTATTAGTTTGGAGTCTGGAAGGTTTGCGATTATGGTAATGGATGGGTTTCTGATACAATGCGCTTTTTGGTTGTAGCTGTTTTTTTTATGCCGAATCTTGTGCTTGGATCCGGAGATCTGCGGTTTCTATAGGCTAGTTTAGATACATACACACGATTCTTTGCATGAAGAATAAGGGAAAAGGAAATGGAGGAGGTCCGGAGGAACCTTTGATTTTTCCGCCGTCTTTTGGTGAAGTTCTTGAAGTTGGCGGTGGCTGTTCCTATGAGGTGAAACAGCTTCTCTGATCATTGACTTGATTATTCTTTCTTTTTGGGTGACTCTTCCAGTTTAATTTTTTGGAATGTGACCTTCTCCACTGTTTGGTGGTTTCAACCAAGATTAGTTTTTAGTTATGGATGAGTTGATGGCACTTTTTTCTTTAAAGTAATTATTGTTGACATAATCTTTTGTGTGGAATTGTTCTGAACCTTAATGTTATCATATCAGTATCATTTTTCTGCATTGTGGTATAAATCTCAGATATCAGGCTAATTTTTGTGCCTATTTATCATCGGGGTTGAATTTATACTTGTTGATGTGAATGTATTCTGTGTTCGGAAAAAATGACATTTAGGAGGTGTTATTATGTTCTGAAGCTCAAATAAAACTGGTCATAGAATAGAATTTTTATATACTTGAATGGATTTCTTTTTTCTCTCGAGTCTGCAAACAGGATAAACTAGTTTTGACAAGAACAAGCAAAATGATATAATTAAACTGTTTGTCTAGGAATGTTTAACTTTCATGAAAATTGTAACTAAAAACATAAGTTACATATAGAAAGTAAATACATCTTTATGGTGTTTTAATTATTTTCACTCGATTGGTCTCTATATTTTAAACCACTTCATTGTACTCATCATCATAGCCCTCCATCCCCAATCAATAGCTGTTTACTAGACATCATTGATCAGTTTTGGTTTCTCTTTAGTTAAAGTCGAATAAATGCTAACCAGATCACCACTCCGTTACCTCTGGTAGGGTACATGTAGGGTCTTCATTTTTTTACTGACATGATGGCTAAGCCATCGATTGGATCTGCTACATCCCTGTACTACAAAGATGTGGTGTGTTGGAATTTCATTTTTGAGTTATTGTTGTAGGGTCAGTTACAGGATACAAGATATCTAGAGGGGTGGTGTCAATTTCCTCCTGTTAATAAGGCAAAACTCCTCCCATGTCTTTGCTGACAAGAAAACAGATCGGCCCAAACAAAAATTTTGGTTTGGTTTGTTTAGGTTTATTTTATTTGATTCAATGTTATCTTGGGAGATGAGCGGAAACTGAATGCTCTGTAGATTTAGATTTTGGTTAATAATCAAGCTAAAGTGAACTGGATCTGAATGTATACGCTCCTTCCGTAATCATAAAATCCCTTTTCATCTTTGGTCGTTGCCTGCCGTTGGCGATTACAGCTTGCTACTTCTGATGATTCACCGTCATTAGTCATTGTCACAGTCACTGCCCACCAAAACATCATCGGCAGTCTTTTATGTGTTGTTCTCCATCAATATTGTTACTTATGCCATCCTCGTTGCTGGCAGTCACTAATTATATGATTGACCATTACCCTTGTTGGCAAACCATTGTCACTACTTGCATATGTTTGCAATTAACTGCCTATCTCTATCTTCAACTGTCCAATGTTACAGTCCAATACTTATCACATCAGCCACCACCTACTAGGAACATTCACCATGTTGCCAGCCATCATCTGTGTGTGCCAATCACTTATTAGCAAATTTCATAGCCAATTGTATGGCCCACCACCAGTTTCAAGAGGGTGAGGTGGAGGACTTTGGGTCCTAGGAGGAGGGGGAGGTCAGAAGAAGTTCAAAGGAGGAGAAGAGGCAAAGGAGGAAAAATATGATAACGTGGAACGATGAAGGGCTTCATTACTGGTGACAGATTGGATTTTTTTTTTTTTTTAAATCAGTAAGTGGTTGTGTTTGCAATGTAAGTAACCTTAACAAAAACATAACATTCAGGGACTATAACTGACAAAAGATACTAGGAACTTTTTTAATTCACAGACAATTAGGAGCTCTAATAATCAGTGAAGACAGTGCTAAATGGGCTTTGGATTTGTTCAAAGTAATATCTATATGATTTAGAGCTGGTTTTCTTGAGCAACAATAGGCATCTTGAAGTGATTTTGGTATATAATGATGATCTGTGGAAAGTCTAGGTTGCAGTCTAAGCCAATAATGAACTTGTGGGATTGGTACACACATACTATATGTCCTTGGCGGCCACAACGTACCCCAAAAAATAAAATAGGCCTGAGCAACATAAGACCATAAGGAAAATTAATGATAGTATACTCATTTAGCTTTATAAAATAACGTAGTCTCAGATTTAATATCTTCATCAAAATCCAAGACCCAAAAGTAACCCTGGATCATTAGCTGGCAACATACAAGGCCCAACCTAAATATGTTATTATGCAGTGATGTGCCTTCGGTCTCATTTACGAGTAGCGCTTTCCTATTTGCATCTTTCACCATGCCTATTTGTCCACTCTTAATACTGAACATCACTATTCATTCTGATAGGAAAAATTGTCCCATTAAATGAAATTCTTAAGTGTAAGTTAATGATAGTAGACCTATTTAACCTTCAAAATAATTAAATCTTTCTTCCACTTCTAATGTGGAACTGAAATGGAGCAAATCCAATTATAAATTGATTCAACTGGATTCAGTGTTATGGTTAATGTCTGGACCAGCTGGATTTTAATTCCAACATCAAGGCATTAGTGAGAAAGTTGGGATTGATTTTACTCCGATTAATCAAGTGGTCCAAGGTCTCTTTGATAATGAATTTTGTCTCCTATAACTTGCTTTACCAGTTTATCAGTCTTGACATGTGACCACCACCTAAACCCCAAAGTTTTGCTTCGGTTTGCATAGATTGTATCATGCCAGTAACACCAACGCTTTTTGAGGCCAGCATCAGACTGCACGTAGAAGGCAATCCATATTTTATGTAGATCTTAAATTGCAAGTTCTTTTGTATTTCATGTTGTCATGTCCTTTCATTGTATCATGCCAGTAACACCAATGCATTTTCAGGCCAGAATGGGACTGCACCTAGAAGGCAATCCTTGTTTTATATAGATTTTAATTTGCAAGTTTTTTTCTAATTCTTGTTGTCATATCCTTTCATTGATCCTTACCACATCCTCGTATCAAATTATCAATATGGTTTTTCTGCATTGTGTTTTATATTGGGAATTCTATTACTATTTTATTGATCTGGGATCTTGGGTGTATTGAGGTTCATAGCGCATACCTGTGAACATGATCTTGGCATTTCAATCTATCTGGCAAGCAGGAAATTCGGCCACTATGGAATGCTGATGTTCTTTTTTAGAAAAACCATTCAAGCTTTACTATGGGTTAACGAGAATAACATCAGATGAAAATTCCTGCCTGCCAAAATTTTCCCACCAGTACATAGTTATGTAATAATGCAGAATCCGAGAATAATGTAGATATAATAACAACAATTTAAAGCTATATTGCAAATTCAAACAAGAACGGTGACGAAAATGAAAACGTCTATATTAATGGATTTCTACAAGTCAGCTACTGGCAAAGTTTGATGTTTATATAAGTAAAAAAGGAACAAAATAAATCAGAATGAATAATGTTTTCAATGCGGAAGCCATTTCGTTTTATTGTTGTCCTGTGTGATCTTAAAATACTACAGTAATCTGTACACATTATTATCTCCTAGTTTTAAGATCTTACTGCCTATGCTCTTTTTTACTTTATAGTAGTCTATGCACAATCACATGAGTTCTGATGCTTTTGAGCTGTTCATTTGAGGAGCTCAGCGAGAAAAGAGACTGACATAACTTGCCAAGAATCATGGTTGCTGTTCCAAGTTGTTATCTTTTGCAGCTTTTCGGATCTTTGGATGAGGACTGTGGTTCTTTTCAGAAGTATTTGCTGGCTTACCTGCTATTAGCAAAAAATGGGAACATTTTAGAGGAGGTGAAAAGGGATATATTTGACAGAGATGTGAATGTGCAGAGTTTGAATCTTACAGGGTTAAATTTGAGGAGTGTGGTTAAGGCACGGCCTGGAGGTGGTTATACTGATCAAAGATCAAATTACCATCTTTTTCCAGGACTTTATGATGATATTACACTAGATTGTCTGGCCTTAACATGTAGGTCTGACTACCCTTCGCTTGCCTGTCTGAACAGAAAGTTTAACTCGCTGATTCGTAGTGGATATCTTTACAAATTAAGGAGACAGCATGGTGTTATTGAGCACTGGGTTTATCTGGCATGTAGTTTAATGCCTTGGGAAGCATATGATCCTTTTAGGCGTAGATGGATGAGGCTACCAAGGATGCCATGTGATGATTGCTTCTCTTGTGCAGACAAGGAGTCTCTTGCTGTTGGGACCCAACTTCTTGTTTTTGGACGGGAAGTTACAGGTTTTGCCATTTGGATGTACAGTTTGGTGAGGCGTGATTGGTCTAGATGTCCACCTATGAACTTACCTCGTTGTCTGTTTGGATCCGGAAGCTCAGGGGACATTGCGATTGTTGCTGGTGGAAGTGATATGGCTGGCCATGTTTTGAAGTGTTCTGAGATGTACAATTCAGAGTTTGGTACTTGGGAGACTTTACCAGATATGAATGTACCAAGGCGATTATGTTCTGGTTTTTTTATGGATGGAAAATTTTATGTTATAGGGGGCATGTCAAGTCATACAGATTCTTTAACGTGTGGCGAGGAGTATAACCTTGAAACAAGAGCATGGAGAAGAATTTGGAATATGTATCCTGGTGGCAATAGGGCTACTCAGTCTCCCCCTTTGGTTGCAGTTGTAAATAATCAGCTATATGCTGCAGATCAATCTACAAATGAAGTTAAGAAATATGATAAGGCAAATAACATTTGGAATGTTGTAAGAACATTGCCTGTGAGAGCTGACTCTTCTAATGGTTGGGGTCTTGCATTCAAGCCATGTGGTGATAAATTGTTAGTCATCGGTGGTCATAGAGGGCCTCAAGGTGAAGTAATTGTTTTGCACTATTGGTGTCCTGAAGATGGAAATGTGGGTGGAGCAGACTGGGATGTGCTTTCTATCAAAGAAAGAGCTGGTGCTTTTGTTTACAATTGTGCAATAATGGGTTGTTGAAGCATGCAAATGCATGCTGATTATAAATCATGGATTAATCAGGAATTTCTGCCATTTTTAATTGATGAAATGTCTTATTTTACTGGGTAATTTTTTTGCTTCAAGAATTTGATAACTTGTATTGATTGATGAATGCTACTTTGTGCTCTCACAATGAATGTCTCTTGAGACAAATCAGACCATTGACCTAATGTGAAGACTTCTTTTTCTTTTCTGACATTGCCCTTCATTGCACGAGCTTTTGTGATGCTATACACACAGAAATCTTGGTATGCTGCTGGTTATGGTTTTTAATGCTTGATGATTCAGTATTTTTAAATTTACATGCTTAGCAACATTATTGTGGCTTGAACTTCAGAATTATGATGTAGAATCAGATGTCAGGCTTTGTCAATTTCATGCCAGTTTTTCCCCTAGCTTGCCATGCTTCTGCAGTGGCTGTCGATTTTAGATTCTTCTAGAATTTTATATGTCTTTCCATTTTTTTTAATCTGGATACATCACCAGTTACTGTGTTCATCTTCGCTTCACCTCAAAAGAAGGAAAAAAATTGAAATATCATAGAACTACTTTTTGTGTCCAATCTTATCCTTGAAGTTGTTTGTGCTGAGTAAAATTTCTCTTTTGGTAGATTGGCATTAATTCAAAGTATTAGCAAGCTAATATTTGTGCTGTCATTTTCTTTTTTGGAGTTGTTCTTGCTAATTGTACCTAGCTTATCATTTGTCAATGCCAGTTTCATGATTTCTTGTCCAAAGGGGCAATGCATATTATCACTTTTTTTTTTCCTTGTCTCCTGTGGACTTTGTTAATCCATTTATTCTGCCTTCTCATATTGTGATCCCTGTAGTTGGGGCTTATTTGTGTAAATGCTGCCGGTTAACCTGTCTGTGTTGGTTTCCTTGTTCAAGGGCCCCCATGGCTTCTTCCATTTGATTTAAGAAGGTGCTTGGATCACATGAAACTTCTGTGACACCAATTCCTTGGATTTGGAGGGATATCTTTAATGTAATAGCACTGTTTGATTTCTGTATGTCTGTAAACAAGGATTTAGTTTCACTTGGTGACCTTTGTGGTTTGATGGTGGACTTGTATGTTGACCTGGATCTCTGTTTGGAAAATGTTATGAACCTATTCTTTTTTCCTTTTTTGTTGTCACCTCTCCTATTCATGTGTTTATTTATCCATGAGATGCTGCAATTCTTGTTCAAAACATGCTCCAGTGTTTCGTTTGATTGAGTAATCAAGTTACAAAAATTCTTAACATTTTTTTTCCTTCATTTGACTGAGACATCATTGTTCATTATAGCCATTACCCAACTATTGAAATGTTAATATATTTTTTTTCTAATGAAATGTTAGTACTTGACATAGTTACTTAGCTACTGATATGTATGTTACTTCTAGTTTTATGTCAACCAGTGAATGGTTTCTTCGTGACATATATATTATGGTCCAACATATTTCAATGAATGATATCTTTATTTTATCAAGTCTTTCGAGTTTTATTTAGTAAAAAAGAATGTGTTTTTCCATATGAAACATTGCTGCAATTGATCATGAAGTGTTACATTGTTTGATTATGTATGTGTATGTATAGTGCATAAATGAATTTCAAAAAAGGTGGAGGGTCTGTTTCATCCACAACCTGTTGAATGAATGACTACTAATTAAAAGAAGGGCTCATGTTTTGCTTTTGGTTCGCTGCAAATATTTCAACCTAACCTTGTCAGGTGCATGGAAAACACTGTTCTTCCATAGGCTCATGAAAGTTCATATCTCAATTCCTCGAAAAGAAGTAGAGACTTATTCGTGGTTTTGTTCTCCCTTCCTATTCTCATATCTCCTAGTCATTGATCTCCAGCTTCAGCCCAAACTCCTTACCCATGAGCTGGGAAAAGCCCTCTATTTGTACGACACTCGACCCGTCTCTAATTTGTCGTCCGATGCTCACATTACTGCCGAGTCCCGTCGCATTCAGATGCGATGTCGGTTTTAGCTGCAATCCCACTATAACCACCTTCCTTATGACCAGCCTGTGCTTCATAGCATATGTGCCGTTGACCACTTCCGAATTGAGCCGCAGATTCTTCTTCCCTTCCATCCGGTTCCTAAACCTCACCAAACTCCACTCGCTCGCCGCCCCTCCCATCTCCACCGCCTCCCCGTCGTCCACGAACACCTCCCCGCTTGCACTCCCCGCCTCGTCGAGCGCCACGAGGAGCTCGAACGGGTTCTGCCTCGCCCGCCGAGTCGTGAGCGCCTGGCCTTGCATCACCACGATGTTCCCTCCCCTGACATGGACGTTGATGGTGTCCGCCGGCGCATCGAGCGTCACGTACTCCCCGTTCTTGCTGCTTACCCACCGTAAGTAGTCGAACAGGTTGTACCATCTGCCTTTTGGGAAGTAGGCGTCGACGGTGATCGCGTTCGGCTTCAGTACCGGGGAGACCATCACCCCTGCCCCCATCAGGAACTGCGTGCTGATGCCGTATGTCGTCGTGTCTTCAGGGAACGAGAAGAAGAGCGGTCGCGCTATGGGTGCTCCCCTCACGTGTGCCTCGTACATCAAGGTGTAGATGTGAGGAAGAAGGCGGTAGCGGAGGCCGAGCGCCTTCCGCGCGGAGCGGGCGACGGAGTCCCAAATGTAGAGCTCTTGGTGAATGGAGTGGATGTCCGAGTGGTCTCTTGCGAACGGATAGAACGCGCCCAGCTTCATGCAACACGAGAAAGGTTTCGGTCAGTCTTCGTACGATCCATCGGCAGGCGAACAAGTTACAGCTTACCTGAATCCACCGGCTGCAGAGCTCCTCGGTGGTGTCGTCGCCGAACCCGCAGATGTCAGCTCCGACCATCGGGATCCCGAAGATGCCAGAGTTGAGGATCGATGGTATGGAATACCCAAGATCGTCCCATTTCGCGGCGTTGTCCCCGGTCCAATGTGCCGCGTACTTCCCCGAACCGACGAAGGTCGACCGGCTGAGCACGAACGGCCTCTTCCCCGTAGTCTTGATCAGTCCATCATGAGTCGCCCTGGATTCCAGGAGGCCATAAAGGTTATGCGCATCGTACTCTGCTACATTCCCAAAGTGAACTGCAGATGCCGGCACCGTCTTGTTGTTGATCGGTCGTCGAACACCGGCATTGTTGATGCTATACGAAGGCTCATCTATCGAGTTCACGGGCGGAGAGGTTATGAAGTTAGATATCTCGTTCATGTCAATCCACAGGCCGTCGACCGGAAGCGTCTGCCGGAAAGTGGCGATCTCCCGGGCCCAGAAATCTGCCGCGGCAGGGTTCAGGAAGTCCGGGAAGTAGACCGGTCCGGGCCACACACTTCCAAGGTAGTACTCCTGCCCTCTCCTCAAGAAGACACCTTGTTTCATCCCCCTCAGGAATGTGCCATAGGTGCTGTTGACACTGATACCTACAACGTTTCCATCGTTTCAGAGCCGAACAGGGGACAGAGTCTAGTTGCTGCAGGACCTAACCTGGATCCAAGATGACCACATACTTCTGCCCGTTCCTGTGAAGCTGGTTGACAAACCTCTTCATCCTGTCCGCCGGGAAGTTGATCGGATCGAGCGTGAAGTCCTTGAAGCCATCCATGTGATCGATGTCGGTCCACATTACATCAAGAGGTATGGTGGCATTTGCGTAGCCTGCAACCACGTATTCCAGCTCCGACACGTTCTTGTACCCGTATCGGCACTGGTGGAATCCTGCATCCAAAGAGGTAGGCATCTAAATCCCGGATCACGTCGGACAGCTCCAGCATGGGTGTGTGCTGTGTACTGACCGAAGGACCAATACGGCATGGGGGCGGGTCGGCCGACGAGCTCGGTGTACTGGTCCATGACTGACAACGGCGACGGCCCGGCGAAGAAATAGAAGTCGAGGACTCCTCCGATCACTTTGTAGGTGATGTAGGATCCTCCATATATGACGTCCATCCCGTTGCTATTGAGGAGGAGCACTCCGTGGGTGAACCCCGGCGGACTGGTCGTGTTGGACGACGACCTCACGTCGATGTAGAAGGGGTGAGACCCGTACAGATTCTGGTCGAGGATCGCCGCTGGGATGTCTGCGTTCCACATCGTCAACGTGTCATCCGGGACTAGCTTGAACGTCCTCTTGGTGTGCTCCCCGAGTCCGTACAGCGATGCTCTGTCGGCCGGCAGCGACGACGAGATCTCCAAGTAGCGATCTTTGAAGACGAGCGTTGGGAGCGTGCGGAAGAGGACGTCGCCGGTGGAGCGGCGGGAGACCGTAAACGTGACAGGGGATGTTGGATGGAGGGTGAACTCGAGGTCGGAGTCTTTCATGGAGATGACATGGGCTTGGAGCTGATCGTGGCGGCCTTGGAGCATTGGTGGCGGGGATTGCCGAGGGATGATGCGCTGAGGAACCTCCCATCGCCGGTGATGGGAGTCGGTGATTCGGACTCGTAGCCGATTCTTGGTCTCAAAGCTGCACGTAGATCTCCCGGTCAGCAACTATAGTCTCGGTAAACTAAGCTTAGCGCACACATACACACCTTGCGAAGAGGCTGATGTTTTGGATGTCAGGGCCGTAGACCGACGTGCTGCGTATGAGTCCGAGCTCGGCAGTCAACGTCTTCCCGGAAGGGGCGACGCCGACGGACCGCAGATCGTATCCATATCCGACTTGTTGCTCTTGCGAAGCAGCGGGAGAACCGAATCCCAGAAGCAGACAGAGATGCAAGACGAGGAGGAGGAGGAGGAAGAAGACAGAGGAGGGATTAGCAGAGGGGAAGATTGTCATCGTCCACATATGATCACTGGCGGAGGGATGAGCTGAAGACCACGAGACGGTGATGCTTTATTTGAGATTGGTGGGTGACGGGGAGGAGAAAACACGCCTGAGGTGGTTGCACGTTATGTCGTCTTGAGCGACAGATAAGGGTGGACCGATCATCCATGGGAGGGCAGATTCCCCTCATGTCTCGATCGAAAAGGACGGGGGTCGTTTGTAATGATCCACAGGTAAGTGTTGTTCCACGCACGCCGTGATGCCGCGACAGAGACGACATAACCAACGCTACATTGGTAACAGTAACGATGCATGATTGAGAGCATCGATGCAGAGGGGATTGATGCAGCAGCAGCACATTGGGAATCTCATGTGCAACTTCGAGGCGGATAAGGTGATGACGATGATCACACCGACGGTTTCGGGAATTGTTTGACAGCA